AATTTCTCATCACAGAATGGACAAGAACGACGAGGGCAAGGTCAACTACGAGATGTTTGTCCGCTACCTGAACTGGAGGGACAGCCCTGTCAGCCTGCCCCCCTACCAGCCCCCACCTACCAAGATCGATGAGGCCTGGACGGGCCAAGAGAAGCGGGACAGTGTGCTCCGAGTCAACTACACAGCGCTGCTGGGCACACTGTTCCCTGAGCAGTCTTAGAAACGACGCTGCGTTGTGCGCGCAACGTGCACATCTTTGTCCTATTCCCAGCAGGCTTGTTTAAGGCGGGTCTCTGAAACACAGTCACTTTACAGTCTCTTCATGGATATAAGTCTTAAGGTGGATTCGTACTTGATGTGAAAGTGCACACAAACACTCTATTGTGAAGTCATATCAAATGTGTGAATTTGCAAAAGTTAAACGTATTTCAGACTTCGGTGAATTTTGCTGCCGGTATTAATGAGATGACACATTCACTTGGCCTGGCATTCACCTGAAGTAGGAACCGGCCTTAGGACAGCAGCATCTTTAAATTTGGCATTTTTAGCTTTAATGTAAGATGTTGTTACTCATTATTTGATTTACCATGACTTTGGCCAAAAAGATGATGACTTACTTTAACCCTAACCCTCCTCAATCCTTCACCTGTTGGAGGATTGAGGAGGGTTAGGGTTAAGCAGTGCACTCAAGGTCTCCATAAACGTGCATAAGAGTGTTTAAATCAAGCAGGCCAGCATATAACAGTGAATTCACATACAGTGTCACAAAAACACCAATATGCATGTACATTGTACATGTACATTGGCCATTTTTAACGCAAGGTATAACATGTTACAAACTATCTATTTTCATGAACTGTATTGTAATAACATTCAGTGGTGATTCACACATTTGATTCATGTTTGGTTGAGCCAGGCCAAGAGTTTTTAGACAGCAGAGAAAATAATGGTTAGTTTTTCGGTTGGGAATTCTTTTGACACTACTGTTGGACTCTTGCAAATTACAGGGTATTTGAATACTTTCAAAACACGAAGCACCAGGTTTTACCAACCCTATTTAAATAAATTTTGGTTTACTTAAGAGTTGGCGGACAAATCACCCAGAAATAGGTCCTAGCATGTTGTTTCATACTCTCAAATGAAACAGAAACCTATGTAAAAGTAAAGCCATACTTCTGATAAGTCACGACGCCGAATGTGGGACCCTATGCGCCAATGCCAACAATCTTATTTGTGATTTAATGAAGTTTTTTTACATCATCTAAACTGATACTGTCAGACTGTGTTGTAGATATGAGGCCACTGAGTCTTGGAGGTGGCTTGATTCCAGTTTAGTTTTGTACATCAATTTGATTCATTTGTAAATATTTTAAAGAGAGATTTTTTGCTGTTGAAATACGTTTTGAATATCTTTTGTTTGGCAAAATGCCACACGTCAGGACATGTGCATGTAAGTTAAAAAGGACTGATTAGTAAAAGCAAAACAGAAACTAAGACCATCTATTGTTATGTTCACGAAATGTTAACGGCATTTGAATTTATTATGCAAATGCTGAACTGTTTAAATGTTAAAAGCACCAAACAGACTTTTTGTCACAAATTAAAGCGTATTTCGTTCCGCTTTTTAAACATGAGTTGAACAACTTCAAACAGAAATGGAACACCAAACAACTTCATGGCTTTCTGAATTAGCTGGTTTGCTCTTTAACCCCTATTTAAGTCATCTCCAAAGTGTGTAAATAAATGTATTTGTTAAATATTTTACCATTTTTCAACGAATGTAATATTTCTTTTGAACTTGATAACATAGTTGTGTAAAGTGCCTAGTGCTACAGTTTGAAAAGTTGGGGATATTCCCATCGACAGCAACCCACCTCACCTCTAATGCATTTTAACTACACCCGTCCATCTTGATATCAGATATTAAATTTGTTTCTTTCTTTATGTCACTTAATCTCATTGAGTTGGTCAGTCTATTCTTTGGTTGTCGGAGGTGAACAAGAAATCAGAGGTAGCTCTGTGGTCAATTTCACGAAGCCGTTCAGGAGAATAAAAACGGATGAACATGGAAATTGCTGTTTGGTAAAATAACACTATACAAGTCTACATGGGCATTACAACATGGGGGGTGGGACTTGCCCGGGGGGGGGGTGAAATGGAAAAAAAATGTTGAAAGCTTTGGTACAGGAATCTTGGAACCCCCAAAACTTAAAGTAATTCAGTGGTGGAGTTGACTCATTTAGACATTCCAAAGTAAGTTTTTTGCTTGCAAACACTAGACAAATGGTCCTGAAACTGTCAAAGTACAAGGTGCTCTTACGCATGTCAGGCCTTAAAACAGAGGCAAGTCAAAACATCTAGCAATTGCACAGAGTGAAACAAGAGTTTCCAAAATGATCTATTTACTCCTCAAGTTGAGTGAGTAGCTGTCTCTCCACTTCCTTCATCTTGACAAGCTCCTGCTCTTCGGCTTTCTTCTCTTGCTCAAACAGGTCTCTGCTCAAAAGCAAAAATTGTGGACCGAAAGTTTTACAAAGGTGATTCATGTCAAAGTTTGTGGTGAAACAGCTCTAAATTGTATTACTCGGCAAGGCGAAAGCAACTTACAAGGCCTGATGCTGGGTCTCCAACGATATTCCGAGGAAACCTTTCTCATCTTCATTTTTCTTGGCAACCATCTCCAAGGCTTCAAACAGCCCTATGAGCCGCTCTGCCTCCGTGTCTGTCTGTCTGACTACATGTACATGGGAAGAAGGATAATTCGATGCATCTTATATTCACACTAAAATCAGGGATGGAAATTGTTTCATTTACTTTGCAGGATGAGGCCGACCTTCTCGTCCTTAAAGTGATCTCAAGAGAAATACTCTCATTATATAAATGCTCTCATCACATGGAATTCAACAACAGCAATGTGACGGCCAGATGAGAATCAAATTGTGCCAAGAGATCTCCCAAGCAGTTGAAAAAATTATACATCAAAGGTAGGACGAGCTTGTTCAATTTACTGAGATAGCCATCATTCTGACGATAAACTCAGCAATCTCTGTGATTGTTGTTAACCGTATTCCTTCATCATTCTTTAGTTTGGCGGTTCCCGTTGCTGAGCTTTGGCATCTTTTATGGGTGGTGCTAATTGACCAATTGATGACTGATTTTCCTCGTGGGGTCCAAAAGTGAAGGTCACATATTTGTGGCCCTTTCTTGGCAACATGCTATGACCCTGGCCATATGCTTCTTACTGGGACGTATACAGTGTGGTCAACATGGACGTCACCTTGATTTGTTTGGCGGAAGGGGGGTGGTGGATTGGGTGGGCTGCAAAGACTTATCGTCACCGGCAAGCTGATGAACTATTAACAGTGGAAGAGGATCAACAGGCATAAACATGATGTCATGCTTTGTTTATTACATATGTTATTTCCTACGGGAGCTCGATGGATCGCATCCCACCTCATCACTGCTATAGGAAAGAGCGCATATAAAATCATGATGTCATCATGTACTAACAAGTATACTCAAACATACTTCAAAGAAGTTGGTGATTTTCATCTCGCTTTTTCATATTCTGTGTGTTTAACTTTTTTAAAACCTGGGGTGGGGGTAGGGGTGGTGGTGGGGGGGCAGAAGCAGCACTCCCTCTTGCCCCCTTATGATGTCCATGGTGTACTACGTGGTTGTTATCCTTTTGTATAGAGAAATCAGAGGAGACCCCATACCTGCGGGGCCATCACACTACGGAAGCAGCACCCCCTCTTCTCCCCCTTATGATGTCCATGGAGTACTACCTGGTGGTTATCCATTTGTATAGACAAATCAGAGGAGACCCCATTCCTGCGGGGCCATCACACTTACACACATGTCTTAACTTTGAGTGCCCGCATACACTTTGGCAATTCATAATACTAGTCGGAAAGGAAAGTAACATGCACGTTCCACTTGCGATGAACAGGATGGCCCTGAAGTAATGGCTTCTAATTTTAGTCACTAGATTTATCTAGATAGGACTCATCGTGGAAGTATATTTGGAGGGTGGCAAAGTATACTCAATCAAGGCTAAGCTGGTAGTGGTTGAAGGCACAACAATAAAATGTCTCACTTTGAGGTAATTTGTTCCACTTTCTCACAATGTTCAGAAAAAAGACTGCACGCAAACATTAGCCCTGGCAGGGAATTCATTAAACTGACTGGTACTTCCCTCTCTCCTTCCCATTACATTGATAACCTTTTGAAAATAGTGGCAATTCAATATGGTGTATGAATGGACCACTTTGTGCAACTTTCTGTACCGAAATATTTTTTTTCTGCAATATAGCATGAAATTTTTAGACTCGATGGTATGCCCTCAAAAAAAGAAAAAAAAACTTCCATATTTGTTAAATTACTAATGTAAGATGAAGGATGCCATTGGATTCAGTTGAAGTGCAGAATATAACATCTTTGGTGTTAGCTGTTGGATTTTGTTCCGATGTATTTTGCTCTTGAGTACTGTCTGTGATTTGGCATTCTGCTGCTGCAGAGGTCTGATTATGGTAGATTATTTCAAGGATAACGGTCTGGGTTCTTTACCTTTTGAGGTCAGGCTCTGCATTTCATTCTTTACTGAACTGACTTCGTCTTGCAGCAACTGATCAGTCTGGGCAAAGAAGGTAAGGTCCAATTACTCGACAAAATCTCACCAAGGAATTGCTTTTTTGGAAATTTATACAAAAGATTCAGGTGGATTACCACCTTTTTTGTGGGCGAAGCAACTGAATAAGTAATGTCGCTTGTCAACTAGTTGATATCTCGCAGGGACTTTACTTGCAGAACAGGATAAGTAAAACTGAATTTCATCCAATGCTTTATAGCTTGTTTGTGGAGCGGCTAAATAAATAATAGAAGACTTGAAGGAATTTCAATCACAGCTTAAGATCAAAACCCACATTTCATGCACTAGAATTGCAGATGAAAATACAGCAAAAAGGCACTCTGACTTTTCTTGAAATGATAGTGTATTACTGTTTTTTTCACAAAACAGAATTAAGACCTAGAACTTTGTTTATGCGATTGGCCCACATCCCCATACATGCACATGTCCTTCTACTCACATAAAAGTCCTTGCCATGGTGGAACATGTCCGCCAAGCTAGCCAGCTTGCCCTCCAGCAATTCCCTGCAACGGAAAAGAACATGGCTATTTACAGCAACTCGATCACTGTTCCATTCTCAGTGAATCTAGCCTTCTTCAATTATTGATGTCTTAATGCACTACTTTCATTTATTACTTCTAAGCCTGACTTCTCTCCAGTCACTGACTTCGGCTGTTAAAGTCAGCATCAAATGTACTTTTTCAGGTATTAAAACTACAATAATATTTGGGTTTCGCTATTTTCTGGCAAAGCATTCTAACCCTTCAACACCTGTAGTTTCTAAACAATCAGTCACAAATATTTTTCTCTCATTCTTGGCTATGTACAGATCTAGCTTTGTTGATTGCTAGTCTGTTGTGTTTGCTTGAGTCAAGGATGGGTGGGAAAACTGTAACCGTAACCCAAATCTTTGGACAATGCTTTCAACTCATGAGAAATGATATATGCATAAAACCATGTCTGAGTCAGTAAGTAATTACAGAGACAATATATAATTTTACTTATCAGCATACAAATTCAGGGATTTTTGCAAAAACCTGTATTTTTGCTGTCCAATTACAGTTTGTAAATCAAGTGTAATGAATTTTGCTTTATGACTGTACTGTCAATCCTGTTGGAATGTATCAATGATGGAAATGTGCAGAACTGATCCCTACATATGTAGATATACATGTAGGAGCCCAAAGAGTGGTGCAATATTGCTGACAATGCAAGGAAACTATACTGGGGAATGCCCTCATACTGACACAAGGTACCAGTTAATTGATTGTCTGCTGAAAACGGTAAACTACAGAAATACACAGCACTGAGCCCATGGCAGAATGGGCCAGAGATCATAACAGCAAAACTGGGATGTGTAGCTGGGCAAAAGGGGTGAAAACAAGAAACATTTCTGTTGTGTGATAGGCAAAACTCTGGCTACACATCTGAACTAATGCCTCAACATTCAAAGTAGTCATCAAACCAGACTGGCCATACATCCTCTGCATATCCCCCACGGGTCACATTTGAATGCATCTTTTCCTTCAAATTACACTGATTCTGGGGAGGACACGATCATCAAAGCAGTACGCCTGATATCTGGCGATACAATAAGTTTCTGGGGCTGTAAATGTTTAAATTTCCATCAAATATCTTGTTATTTTGGGATCAATTTAAATGTGACACTGCTCAGAAGTCCACATGGTGTTCCCTCCAACTGTCATCTCTCTTGTCAAGTTAAGCACTGTAAGTTTGAAGTCAGGAATCAAGGAGAATGAACCTGCATTCCTGAAGGCATTTATGTAACATGTATTGCCCTAGGTATTATCTTCACCACATGGACAAGATAAATTTCTTAAGGTTGCAAGTTTCAGTAATAATCATGGGCAGTCCTTGCTGGAAGTTGGCTTTCCCAAACCAGAACGGATGTATTTTTCACTTCGATTAAGCATGATTTCCCCCCTGAATAATTTCTGAGGAAGGTACGCTTCACAGTCTGTTATTAAGAAATCTAGGAACAGAGCAACAATTGTGGCTCTGCGCTTTGGGAGCTGGGAGAGACTTGAAGTATTGAGTCAGGAAAGCTTAGAACAGCTTTACAACAAAAATGACCACATAGCTATATGCAGTACTCATGATTTGTAGTGTCAAAGCCCAAAGTTTTAAACTTTATTACTCTCACATTTTCAGGCCTGTAAATACAAATTCCACTTTGCACAGGTCCTGCCAGTGTTAAAGCCTGGCTTTCAGATAACTGTCACTGGATAAGTAAGCTTGGTGTTTATCACACATATTGTTTTAATGGTGAAATATCCTCAGGTGCTGGATGCATTCGATGAGAAAGCAATGAGGAAAAATGCCTACTTTTCTTCCTGCTGGCGTGTTTCCTCAGCCGCCTTGTTGGCTCTGAGGTGAGAAATTCTCTGCTCCAGCTCTTGATTAATGCTCTGCTGACTGAGAAACAATATTAAAGATGTAGGAAGTGATGTCGATAACAAGACTGGAGGGACTAGCCAAATACCTTAGTATAAAAGGAACCTTGCAATAAAGGCACTGGAAAAAGGAAGAAAAGCAAGGAGTTAAGGACACGTCGGACCTGACAATCTCCTCTTTGTTGAGGCAAACACAATTATAAGTACTTTGTTAATTGGTAGCTCTTTATAGGGAGTGCTAGCGTTGAATCCAATCCAATATCTGGGAAAGAAGTGTAGTTGAGAGATACTGAAGTGTTTTCTTAGTAGTGGCTTCTGTTTTCCTTCTTTAACAACTTTCTCACAGCAAAACTTGCTCGTCTCAGCCTGGTTAGTTGAACACCAATGTAATGGGGCACGCAATTTGCATTCATACATTAAGGGCCAAGGGCAGACCCTAAACTAGATTTTGGGGAGGGGCAAACTGTTTTCTTGGGGGGGACAGGCAGAAATGTAAGAATTTGTTTAATATGGAGCCTTTTATGGCCCTTTCTCAGGGGTGGGGCTATATTTTGGGGGGTTTTTCACACTTTTGGACGGCAAATGACATAGCCCGAAAAGTGGCATTTTTGTTTTTCAAATAACCATTTTGGGGATCCTTTATCTGGTTTTATGGCCACTGTTAGCCCCATGAATCTGTCTGGAAGTAGGACCATGTTTTGTGGAGGGGGGCAAAAAAAGTCAGCAATATTTAAAGTAACTTTTCATATTCTTTCTGAGGGGTGGGCAGGCCAAATTACGCACTTTCTTCATGGTTTGGTAATGAAGGGAAATGAAATCATGATAGTCCCCAAACTGCCATTCTCTCACATTTCACAAACAAAAAGACGAAAAACAAATTGCCCCTTTTTGGGGGAAGCCTGTGGTCCCATTTTCCCCCGTCTGTGGATCTGCCAATAAACCCACTCACACATGGATTACTCTTCATGAAAAAACCCACTTAAAGAGTATTTTGAGGCTATGTGGTATCCCCACAAAAGAAAACTACTGGTGACAACTTCAATTGTCTAATCTGTATCCCTAGGCCATTCAATTGTGTTGTTGTTTACAGTTCAGTGTTTATATTTTAAACAATTTTCAGATGACCCACCTTTCAATGGCTGCTTGGGACTGGCTGACCTTATACTGGGCAACCTTCAGTGTGTCTGCCATCTTGCCTTTGGTGTCTGTGGTCTGATTGAATTTACTCAAAGCTAGGCAGGCAATAGAAAGGATTACGCAACCATTTTTTTCTCTCTCTTCCGAGACATGTGACCTGAAAACTTCCTTTTGTTGGTTGTAGTTACTGTTTACATAAATGAGGCTTGGGTGACGAAGTGAGTTTCGGCATTAGTTTCAATATTCTGTTCAGGGTCTGACTTCTGATCAAAACTGATGCCAAGTTGAAAGAAGGCACTGTCAGTGACCGTGAGGCAACTATTAGAGACATTCCTCCTTATCATAAGATGATTATTTACAATCCACTCTGAAATATCGGGAACCATGTCATGGGAAAGCTGGAAGTACAACGGAAATACAATTAATTGGCTTCCCGTTAAGTAATGATTTCTTTCAGTGCATGGATCCAAAACTATCGGGGGGGCAGAAAATTTCTTTATGTAACCTTTTATGGCCTGTCTGAGCTGAAAATGAATTTTAAGGTTATTGGACATTTTGAGAAGGAAAGGAAAAGAAATCCTCCAAAAATATCATTTTTCTCTCACTGTATTTCAAAAAACAACCCCAAATTTTGCTCCTTTCATGTCATCGTTGTCATGTCATCGTTGGCCCCCCTGAATTGGCAATGGGAGTTATCCTGAAACTTGATTACCTGCTTCATATCTGCTTTCCAACTTTCTCCTTCTTGACCGTGCTTCTGACAACTTCCTTTCATTCTTTTCCTTTTCTGCGTGGTGGAAATAAAATAATAAATAAATAAAACCATACAAAAATGAAAAAACAGATCTCGATACCATAGTGGGCCAGATTCTTGAAATCCTTTTCAAATGTTACCAAATTGAATATCAGGGTTCTTGTTACTAAAAATTAATACTTTTACATGCAATGTAACAGGCTACAGTATTACCTTCATTAGGCCAATGAAATTTGATTTACTGTTTCTTGTGAGGGGTTTTCAAATTTAACATTTTTTATCCACTTTTCATTATACATTATTTTCTATCATGGAAAAATTATACCCTTTTTCACATGTATAAGACCTATGGCTCCGTCACTCATGACTGTGAGCTGGTCTGATGCAGTGTTTGACTGTTGGATTGGGGCCCATATGGTTGTTGATTCTGCTAAGTTAAAGTGTCGGTGTAAGAGCGGGGATAGCGGCCCAACGCTAGGCTGACAAGGTGCCCATGGGCTTTCAGGCTCCAATTTTTTTTGTGTTTTGATGACTGGGAAGTGGGATTGCCAGAACGTGACTGCCGATGTTGGGAGTTGGATTTTCCATTAAGTTTTGCCTTTTTTCTCAAAAACAATGAAATTTCACGATGCGGGAGCAAAATCACATGCAGTCGCTGACGACAAACAATAAATCTACTTTTTTTAGCCTTATTGTTGAAAGGGTTTTATTTGAATGTTTGATTGCCAATTTGTTTAAGTCATAGAAACACTGGCTATTAGGCAAAAAACAAAACAATTTAGTGTCTCGGAGCCTGTCTTTCTTTTTAAAGTTGGTGAAATTTTCAAAGGTGATGGCTGGATTTTGTGAGTGTGTTACTAAATGTTTCTGTTTCTGAAGGACTTGTCCCCAAACCTGTATGCAGGCTTTAAACCTACATTAATATGGCTGATATTTTCTTAGAAACAAACAAAAAGTCCTAGGTCTAATTCACATTGTAATTTGAATACAGAAACAAAAAATAAAGAAAGAAAAAACTCCAGAAACAAAAAATAAAGAAAGAACTCCCCCTAAAAAAGATAAATGAAGCTCCTGGGAAAAACTGAAGCAGGCAGAGATGAGAAAATGTTGTTTTTCATTTAGTCTTTTCATACCTTCCTGGAGATCTCTGATGCTGTTTTTTATGATATCGATGCCAAAACTAGGTGCAGAGTCCTCCATGGTCGATCAACTTTGACTCAACTCTCAAGGGCCGATAAAAATGGTCAAACCTGTACATAGGCCTTCATGCATAACAACAAAAGGAGAATTACGCCTAGGCTATACAAATTAGGTCATTAGGCCTACATGGAAAGTTTAGAGGAGGATCTGAAAGAAGACAAATTCTGGGGAGATTTTCTTTTCATGTAGATGTAGGCCAAGCAAAGTGTTTTCATCATGTAGGCCTAGCAACTGCTCTTTTTAAATGCCAAGTGCTGGCACCTATCAACTGATCAACTACGGCGAAGAACGTCTTATTTGTCCGAAATCTGGGCGGGAGGAGCCAAAGTCGAGTGGCGGCTGTGCAACTTTAGACAAGGTGTAAACTTACTAAGCGTATCATTTAAGTCATCAAAAATATTTAACCACTGATAACCCTTTCAAAAACAAAATCACATCTACAGCAACAAACCAACAAATTCTTTGAACGAACGCAGGCCTGACCAGAAATCTCACACTTGTAAGTTGTAGTCGTAGGCCTAGTAGGCCTAACTGCTGGTGACAGCAGACGGCGAGCTCGAGCATCTGGCAAACTTTTGCATATGGCGCGTAACAACCATGTCAATGGTACCCGTGCTGCATTTTTTGAACGAGAAATGTGGGCAGCCAGCTAAAACTTTTAGTTTCCTAATAGTAATAGAGGGCGTCGTGTCTATAATGAAGAAATACTTGTAATCCCTTCACGTATTTATAACACGTTGTCAGCCTAAGATTACACCTCCCAGGCAGAACAAAGGGGGAAATAAGCGTTAATTTGATGTACCTCAGTTTTCATCTGCTCGAGTTTGGTTTATAACTTTAAAAAAAGAAACAAGGATTGCAGAATAGTGAATACCTTCATGATGTTCAAAACTAAAGATTGCCCACATGATATTTACCTATGTGCGTCTACTCATTCTGCAATGATAGGCTTACAAAACGAATGTTTGATAATGTGGAATTTAATTTTGACTGTTGAGCATACCGCTGCCTTTACTTGAGCAGACTTGGCCTGTATAGCTGCATTTATAAGTTCTGTTTGCGGACTGATTTCAATTTAAAGTGAAATGTAAATATTACTCAGTCATGAATGATTTTAATCCGGATATAGAGGAAAGTTGAATTATCTCCCTTGATTCACAAACAATTGCCTAAGTTCGGCAACCCTCGACTCGAGACTATGGTCCTTGGCCTCTTGTGATGATTTTGTACTTTCACGAGTAACTTCATTGATACGAAGCCAAGTTAAACCTGGTAATCTGTGAAGAGTTCCTCGAGGACACCATGTCAAAAATCCTTTACTATTGATAAGGAATCCTGGCGAGTGTTCTCAATATAAAGGTATTATCGATTCAGCCATTTTATCGATTACCATTACCCACTGTTAGAAAAAAGTCCCCCAAAGCGCCTGTGATCAAATTATGCGCAAAATGTCATTTTTGACGGGGAGAAAACTTGACGTAAGCCTATATGGAGGTTCTCCCTACTCATGTCTAGATTCGAGAGCCCCCTAGAGGCTTCTCCTTGTCTGGATTTAATACCCGTTCGAATGTGATGTTACTCAACGTGCTTTATTTTTCGGGTCGAAAACACAAACTACTCCGTTTATGTGCAAATGGATTCCATCGATACGAATCAAAAATACATCAAGCTGTCATAATGCAAGTGAAAACTACAGATCAGCTCCTAGCACGTCATTCAAGGGGGATGGCGCCCCATATCCCACTACTTTTTGACCCCCAACTTTTTTGAGAAAAAAATCAAGCATTATGACAAATTTTCGGACTTCCCAACAACTAGGATGTATTCAGCAACACTCAAAAAGGGAGAACGGTTGTTTCAAAGTCCATAAATACGCGTTTTGGTGCCATGAGATTCGACAGGAGTCGTATGGTGTCGGCACACACCGCCCCCCGCTTTTCAGTTTCCACCAGCCCTCACAATCCCACATTTAATTCCACCAAATCCTGGCTCAAAATGTACGCCAGTGCTTTCTACACACACAACAGTAACTCTGAAGTGCAATGACACTTTGGCCTTGGTTTGAAAGAACGAAACCACATTTCCAAAAGCAAAGCCGAACTGATATATCACAGTGAATATAGGCCCTAGTGGCAGAATTCGCTCGCGGAGTCACCCAGCGCCAAGCGCTGATGGCCTTGCACAGATGTTAGTGAAGCCTTAAATACGTCACAGAGGTCACTTTAACGACACGCAGAGCATCGTGGGTAAATTTCTGCCTGTAGCACGAGCTCGCTCAATGCGTTACACATGCGGCGGTTATCAATTCGATATTTTTCTTTTTCTTCCTCATTGCTGAAAATATTCTCACAGCACTTTATTCGTTAATCCAAAATTGATTAAATTTGAAATGCATGTATATGGCCAAAAGACACATGATCAGTGATATGCTTAGTGATGAGGAGATAAATTACCACGCGGTAATTATATAAAGGCTATGTTGTTATCATATTGCCGACACTTTGCCCGTGCTAAAGCAGTACCATTTGCAAACAAAAAACTTTCAATTTACGCTTTGCTAACAGGAAGTGCTAACCTCGCGGTCAAAGGTAGCGCACAATGTAGCCAATAACAGTGCAAAGCCATCAGCCCTTCCCAGCGCCCTTGGCGACGAGCGAAGTGGCAGAACACAATGAAGTACAGATTTCAAGTGCAAAGTGAAGGTGGGAAGTTATAGATTAATTTGATGTAGACACCATTAAAGCGGTGGCACCATACTTGTACACGACACACATACACACATTCATCAGTTGATGTGCGCGGGCATTTAGCAAAATAACAATGCTCTACAGTCGAAGAGTAACGCACGCGTACCACTTGTCCATGAGCGTTATGCCACTGCAGTAAGCATGGAGACTAATTCTGGTTAAAAAGGGGAACTTGGGACGGCAAATGCATTAGGCCTATATTATCATCAAATATAATTCTTCTGCTATCCCGAGTAAATTATTTAAATTTATTAATGTAAAATCAGGATGACGAAAAGGAGCCCCGAATCGGGCCAAGAGAGGCTACAGTCTTCCTGGCAACATTGAGACTCCTTTGGTGGGAACAGTGGCTGGGAACTGAACTTCGCTGGTTCAGGAACGACTACGAAATGCACGCGTTGCGGTCGCATCACTACCAACAAAACTAACATTCCCACTAACATGGCTTTTTTTCAACCGACGAGGGGGTGCTTCTTATTAAAATGATAACGAGAATGAAACGAGATGATGACAATACATTTATATAATTGAAACAATAAGAACTATGCTATAAAAAAACTCCCCAATCCAGTTTTATCTCACTGTTGCCTCTATAGCCACAAATTCATCCTATGCACTCTTTGAAAAATATTTTGCCATATGAAACGTGCGAATAAAACCGTCACTCTAAGTGCTTGTACCTTTTGGATAGAAAAGTGCAGCCGACGACAAAAAGTGCAAATCTCGAGTGCCTAAGCAACGTCATGCACCTTCAAACTGTTCGGATATTCACTGATCATTTTCCATTGAATAACTCTGGAGAGCAAGGCTGTGAAAATACTCCGATGTCTCGTGAAGGAGATTTTTTTGTTTACTTATTTACACGCACATCAGGCAGGTAATGCATGCAAAGCAGTTTAATACTTCACAGGTGATGACAGCCACTGACGAGGTGCATGGAGAATTCCTCTCAGAAGAAAACACACATTGCTGTTAAATATTTGGGTTTTACTATGGCACCTCTCTTCATCCGGCCGTTAAAGTTTCCCGTTTTCCGGGGAAGCAAGGTGAGTTGGAGCTTGCCGTAAGGGTGGCGGCGTATCCGGTTGCTTACGCTTCAGTTTCGGGAATCTCTCCCCCCCCTTCCAACCCATCAACCAGTAACGCTTCGAGGCCAAATGATTAGGTATTTTATTGCGTTCACAGAAGAGTAGGCTGCTGCAAGTTGAGACGAAACATGGCCGTGGAACAGAGCAAAGATAGAACAGTATAATATAGCAGAAAGTTTGAAGATGTAGGACAAACCTTGTGGGTACTCCACGGGTTCGAGGTGGACTTTTGCCAGATTTTTCCTACTCTCATTTCTGAGCCGGGGGGGGGTGGCACATATGGGGCACAGACCTCGAGTGGGCATGAGTGCCCCCTTAGTTACGCCCCTGCTTGTGTCCCAAGTAAAGCGAAATTGCGATGCAGATGTGAAATGTGTGAAATGAAATTCCATCTCTCTTATCGTTATGCAGTGACAATGAGAAATAAGAAACGACGAAACTGACCTGTTATGACCCCTGGCACTGGCGCTGCCCGCCCGGATTAGAAACTGGAGATTTCCATGATGTCAAAAAAGACTCATTATTCAGTGAAGGGAACTTTCCTCAGTGCGACGGATCAACTGCAATTTCTGTATCTCGTTAACAATGGGGGGGGGTGCGTTGTCTTTTCAGGAAGTGACTGCCGAGATGGGTTTGACGACCGGTCACACTGTCCACTGAAATAGAAGAACACGTTCTGACGAGTGCATAAATAAATAATGTCTCCTTCAGCTGTTCTGTGAATTCCATCCCTGTCTTGAAAATTCTACAGACTTTTGCCCTATTCTCTGCGGTGCACGAAATTATTATGGTGTAGGGACGTGAAGTTGGGGTGACGCATCGACGAAAAACAAAATGGGGGAAGCATCATGGTCAATCTACCCCTGTAAAGGAGAATCACTCGGGGAGGATTAATATAAAAAATTCCCACATACTAATTTTGGATTCCCCTTTTATTGGTAGGAGGGAAATCCAATAATTGAGTTGCAAAATGTGGAAAGCACGTTTGCATTAGGAAGAGTGATCCTTTATCAAAGCTTCTATGTAGAACTTACATCAAAGGGTGATATCATCTTGTGGTGACCACTTTTCGCTATGGATCTAAAGTTCGCCTTCGGCCTCGACAGCATTTGCAAGGAAGGAGAGTGTTTTTCTGCTGTCAGTGTTATTCCGGTTTCTCATTTTGCAATTCATTTTCCCTCCTGCAGTCATAGCTGCCAATCACACATTCCAATATCAAACCAGAACATCTTTATATTTCCGACAAACTGATGACTTGTGGTGAACTTCATTTGCACAATAATGTAGATTGCTCTTTTTCCCCCCAAAGGCCCAGTCAAGGCAGAACGATTGTCGTTTAAAGAGAATCATGTTTCTACTCTTTTATCATCATGTTTTGATTTTTCTCGTGTGTGATTTCTACATTTGGGCCAGATTATCCAACGTATGGGTACAGAACCGTCTGTTTGCTGATAGGGACCATGAAATTCAGGAGCCTATCAAGCAGTGTTGTAGTCGAGTACTTTCCGAGTACTAACATTCTCTGCAAAATACTGAACTGGGTAAGAGGGAATAAAGCCAGAGTGCACAGGCATTTGATGGTAAATGTGCAGAGGTAAGATTACAAAATAAATGTTAGACTTCAGACACTCCCAGTTGTGTAAAATTTAAGCTTTTAGGAGAAAAGTTCTCGGAAAGTACTCGACTGAGACCGAGACTTTTGTCCTAAAAAGTTAATTTTAATCAAACAGTGATGGTCTGAAGTCATTGTGTTACTTTGTAATCTTACCTTTATGCATGTACC